ATTAGCTACCTGTTTTTATTCTTCATACACAGCATTACTCAATATTTTTGTCCATACTATGGATCTTGCTTCAAGCAAAGATTAAACGATGGAATGAGGAGCCAGTCATAACCTCATCTGTCCCATTTTCCGCTAACAGTGGTTTTGCTTCCGGCAACTATTGCTTAAGTAAATAAAGCCGAATTAAGCCTTGATCATTTCTATGGAGACTACGAGATTTTGGCTTTTGACATGTAAATATTTTGTTCGCTGCAATTCTTTTTGAAGGTGAATTAATCGGCGGCGCATGTGGCACATTCCAAAAAGCTGTGGCTGCCACACCTTTTTAGGGTTGTGCCATACCCCACTTCTCACTTTCAGAGAATTCGAGTAAGTGTGTTTTCATATCGTTGCTGATGCTTCCTTCTTCTCTACACGGTAGGAATTTCATTCAGTTGCCTTCTCCTAAGCGATATAGTCTTTTCTTTACCTACGCAAATGGAAAATTTTGCAAATATTGGATTAAGGTAACACCCTAAGTCTGCGCTACTACTTAACACGTTTCGGACCGTGCCGCACATGGTGCAGCAACCATAATTTGAAGGGTCTTTTTGACATTTGCAGGAGGTTTTCTTTGAGTCCAAGACTATCAAGTCAAAGACCTAAGCTTTTACTTTTCAAGTGACTCTGTAGAATTATGCCGCCAATATTTGTTTAGGAGTTCTGAGCACAAATCGAACAACGTTGCAACGAAGTGCGGCAACGCGAACGACGAGCACGTCGCAACTTTCCTTTGCTTCGATATCAAAGAGATTTTCCGTAGTTTCAATACTGGTGTGTATCGTTTACAACATAGGTACTTTTAGATACCATTAGAAACTGATTTCTTGTTTCTATCTTTCAGAAAAGCACAAAAGCCTTTTACAAGCGACAAAATTCAAACACTTCAAATCCATTCAAAACTTTGGGTGTAAAAATCATCTGACAAGCTGATTATAGATGTAGCACACAGTCTACGAAATAAGGTCCCTTTGTTGGCTAATAGCTAAAAGTGCACTCTTTTTCGCCGCTCGCGATTTCGCTGTCCGAAACGTGTTAAATTGGGAGGGAAGGCGGCAAGAATGGATATATATTAGAAAAAGTGAACCTTGTAAATTTTACAAAAGTAAATTTAGCTTGACTAGTATTTTCTGGTCTGAGATATTGAAAGCAAAAATGGGACAGACGAGCTTTGACTTGCTCGCAAATTCATAGTTGAAGATTATCAGAAGTAGGATTTCCAGTGTGAACAAAGACGTAGTAGTGCTTTGTAATAAGTGCAAACAGAAGTAGTCAACGCACTTTCCATAAATAGTTAGCATGCTTGAAAATGACTATCTCACTTGGGAGGCCCAATATTTGTAAACCACAGAAATCGTTAAAACACAGCCCCAGAGATTTCTCGATATGATAGCTCTTTTATTATGCTTACACTATGTATAAGATGGTAGGCTATAACATCTGTGTATGGACAAAGAATACTAATATGGACCTGTGTGACATTGTTAACAAAGATACCGCGAATAGCGTCACCTTGGTAACGCCCCCCTCCCCCTTTCCCCGACCCCTCAATACGGCTCCCCAGATGTGGCGTGTTACACCACACATTTGGTCATGTTTGGGATACCTTTTGAGAGCGAAGAGGTCTCTACAAAATCGCTCTCAAACAAGTGCAAATGTTCATTCCACATTGAGTAAAAAATCAAAATTTTAAAACTTTCAAAACCACAAAATCTCGAAAAAAGTCCAGAACCTGCTCAAAAAATTTCTGGGAAGCTCTAACTATTTGCGCAACTGCCGTATTTTTGTCGCTGCTAGAAATCCAGGAAACGAAATTTGGCATGTTTCTTCAAAGCGATGCTGAGCTGCTCCCATATAAGCAGTTCTACAGCATGAGCCTTAAGAAGTATCTATAACCATAGTTTTCGAGAAAGTTTAGATCTAGCGTTAGCACTAAAAAAAGTACAGCAAATATGCATAAAAATAAAGATGAAGAGTATATGTGATAACAAGTTAGAGCTTTCTGAGATTTCCAAATCAAAGTCTGAATTTTTCGAGTTTCAGGTCTCTGAAAGTTTTCAGATGCTGATTTTTGATTTAAAGTGGAAGTTATTTCTATGCAAAAGTTCGAATGCCATTCTGTAGACTTTGCTTTGCTCTGTCAAAAAAATGTCCTACAGCTTCTTTAGAAGTTAAGAAAAGTGAAAATTGTAGTGATGAAGTGAAAACGGAAGGAACTTGTAGGACAACTTATGGCTGCAGGAAAATATTTGATTACATGAATGATTTCAAAGAAAATTGGGTTTTTTCCTCTCAATGGTAAAATTTTCAGAGGCCTTTGAGATGACTGGATCTCTATGACTGGACGATTTTACGAAAGTCTAAAGTTTTTGAGCAGCTAATTCCTCTCAAAAGGCATCCGGTAATTGATTACCCTAAATTCACGCGTGGAGGACGCGGGGGATTTTTTCTTTAAATTCGAAAAGCACAGACACGCCGAAAGACTTCGCGACTAGAAAACTATTATATTTACGATGCTGCATATTGCCTGAGAGTTTCTGCGGCCGTTTTCCGAAACATAACGAGTCGGCTGAGCGATGCGCATGAAAACCGAAAAAGGTGCGTCTTACACGCGTAAAACTAGGGTACATTCTTACTTGCAGCTCGTGATTCGACCAAAATTGATGGCGCCTCCACCCTACCAAATTAAGTAAACAGAGTGAAAGTTGGCCTAAAGCAAACTTCGAAGATATCTCTATATCTATAACTATCTATAACTTCGAAGCAGACTATCGAAGATAATTTTGTAATGCGCGCACATTGCAAAAATCAAATGCAATTGATAAGTCAGTGTATCCACTGTTCATAAAATAATGTTACAATATCGCAGCAGCTCCTTGGGATTTCTATTAAATCATAACAAAGTTGGTGCGTGATTTTCTTGCTATCACAACAACGTAATTTATTAACTACATTTGATTTTTGCAATGCGCGCGCATTACAAAATTATCTTTAATAGAGCCGAAGTTTGCTTCAGGCCAACTTTCACCCTATTTATTTCAATCTGGATTTGCAAGGGGTTGCTGCGATAGCGTAACATTGTTCCTGAGAATTTTATTTGCGCAGACTTTTCTTAATATGTGCCTCATCGCTCATCCTTTGCCCGAACCACGCCTCCAAAAAATTCGGAGTTATCTTCAATGAGCCAGGGTTTTCTCAACCTGACTTTTCATGCTTACACATTTCAGTAAGAAGAAGATGCCGGGTTATTTTTGGTTGAATAACACAATTTGCAGTTGAAAAAGCAAATCAATCACCCGATTTCTTTGAGAAGCGAATTGACTGCGGCAAAAACTGCATGGCTCTTGATCGCTAGCTATAGAGGTTCTGTCATCTTACGAGTAAAGCATAAGAGTCACACCCGAGTTCAACAACGAGATGTAATTCCTACGTCGTTGTGCTCTCTTCGGGGCAATGATAACTTATCCACTTTCCAAATCTGCGCTTCTTTAAAGAAGTTACGGGTTTCAAGATCCACAGCTTTTGACTGTCTACAAGCGAATACGGATGATTATGCATTATCAGTGCGGCAGAAATGTGCTTCGACATACGACAATGAGAAAATTACTGATATTTGCTACTTAAGATGATTTTTGGATAAAATACAAGAATTTCCAAAAAAACGTAAAAGCGATGATACTCATGAAAATTGGACCTGGTAACGACTAAAAGCCGACTGTTCTCTTAACTGCACTATCAGAGTTTCTAATAATGACGCATTTTCGCTTCTTGATTGAGTGGGCAGGGCTAAACCTAAACCTGTGATTACAGGGATCTTGGAAAATTTGGAAATTAGGTATGTTGTCAGTGTCCTGAAGGGTGAGATACATCCTTGCCGACCGCCAGTGCAACGTATCAATCCCTTGTTGAAAGCCTTTAATAATTTTCCTATTGTTGGAAGATAAAATCTTTTCGTAATTATTTGTGTAATCAAACAAATTCCTTCAACCTTCTAGTTCTGTAATCAAATAAATTCCTTCAACTATTTGGTAGGGGTCCTAAAATGCCCCTACAGTTTGATTGTTATAACTCTCTTGCTTCGTCATTTGCGTCTCCTGTCTTCTATTTTTGTCTTTTGCCTTTTGTCTTTCTTACAAAATGAATTAGTAAGTTGTGTATTCACTTATTAATGAAGTAATAAGTGATTCGAGGCTAAGAACAAAAAACTTCAATGTTTAAAATAAGGTTCGTAAATTTGGATAGAAATCATTCCCTTGTATCTACAATTTAGGTTTTTGGGTTCGACTTCACTAGTCAGCCTTTGCGAATATTTTCAAGAATGGCTTGTAGTGCTTGCTTTTCTATATCAAATAATGCTTCTAATTTTTCATTCGCTCTATAATGATAGCGTCAGGATAAGTCACTGCATCAACCTATAATCAAATCTCACAAAAGGGGGTGTCAGCTTTCTAGTGTGTGTTTCCAGTGTTGTGAAGCGCAAACTTTTTTATATGAATCTTAAAATATCATAGTGAATTCTCTAACAATTTGCTATTCTCCATGATTTCTTGGAGGGTTCCACATTTCTCAACGTTAATCAAAAGCCGTTCATACATTCACCTATTCGATGACAAATTAAAATTTTTTGCAAGTCTTATCCTCACAACTTTCTCTTTTTTTCAATATCTGAACTCAGTTTCTCGAGAACACCTTCATCAGAAAAATTTTCCTGTTGAAAAAGTCATTCGTTAAGATATGGATATCGTTTATTTGAAGCCTTGAATTCTTTTCTCACTAAATTTTTTTGGAGCAGCTCAAAAAAACTGAAAGTGTCTATAGACAATCTCAATTTTTCTGTTGTCGTTATTCAGATGGATGTTTTAGCCGGCAGGAAAGCCACCGCCAAAGCCCATCAAAAGCTTTTTTGAAGTTTGTTACTTAGTCCGTAAATATCTTATACAGTGCTTTTTATTTCAACTTACCTCAACGGATTGAGAAAATTGCAACATCCACCTATGAAATCCACGTGTGTTTCGGGTGCGTCATACTGCAAAGAATACATTTCTCATCCAGAGATTGTGAGACAAAAGATATGAATCAGATAGAAAATTCATCTACTTTATACCATGCTGAGCTTTTGAAGCTGATACAAAGGGTTTTTCGATGATAGATAAGGAAAGATATACAGGGTGGCTGGAAAGTATTGGCGCGCTCAAAAACTTTATATTTTCTTTCAAAAAAACTTTTTGGCACTAATTTTTTATGATAAACGAAGAAAACACAGTGACCCACATAATTTACAAAAACTACTCGAAATGTCCACCCTTGGCTCTTACGCGTGTCTTCATTCGGGGTATCACTGAAGCGAAGGCGCGCCGCAGGTACTCTTGGTCTAGATCGTTCCATGCTTTTGTAAGTTCTCTGCAAAGGCCATTCACAGTGTTGATTTTCTTGCTTCTCAACTTCTCCTCTAAGTAACCCCAAACAGCGAAGTCAAGTGGATTGAGATCGGGACTGTTGGAAGGCCACTGATCCTTCGTCAGATATTCTGGCATATTAGCATCTAGGAAGGCAATAGTGCTCTTTGCTGCTTGCGCAGGTGCCCAATCCTGCTGGAACATCCCATTTGCGTTTTTTCGCCTCCATGGGACCACACCTTTTGCCAGCACTTCTTCCTGATAGGTCTTTGCGTTTATCTTCACATTCTGGTTGATAAAAATCAAAGGCGTCTTCAAAGTGGCGCTTCCCCCTGCCCAAACCATCACTCCCTTTGGAAAAAGCGTTCGGGTAACAATTTTACGTTTTCTGGTATTCTTCAGACTTGGGCTGAGCAGTTGCCGTGCATTTTGACTGTTGTGGGATGTTTCGATAGTAAAAATTTTTTCGTCCGAAAACATCACTCTTCTATGCGGCACGCGTCAAAAGTGTGTAGCATTTCCTTGCAAATTCTTAGCCTCTTCAGCTTGGCGTCATCTGATAAATAATGCCCTTTGAACAGACAATAACTGCGAAGACCCAAAGAGTTTCTGACTATACTTCGAACTGTCTGACGAGAGATAGACAGGCTTTTTGCGATAGAATTCATACTGACTAGGTCGTTTCGGACGATTCGTTTCGATGGCTCGCATTCTACGAGTGTTGACAGAGCGGGGACGGCCTGTTGGTTTCTTCACATTGACATGTCCCACTGACTTCCACTGTTTGATGATCCTCTGCGCGCTTGAAAGTCCGTTCGGAGACGGACTTTCAAGCGAGCCGAGATAACCGAGGCCTTCTGTCCGTCGGCTGCTAGGCGAGCGATTGATACACGGTGTTCACACTCAGATAGTCGCCGGGGGCAGGCGGTCCGCAAACTCGCGCTTTTCTGCAGGCGGTCAGCAGAATTTTGGGGCGTGGCCAAACCTTCAGCGGGCGGCACTTCCTTTACAGTCGCATATTCTGCCAGCGGGCAGCAATACAGCATTTTTTGCAAGCGCTCGGCAAATAATTTCTTTCAGCCAGCGCTGGCCAAACTTTCAGCAAGCGCTCGGACTCTTTTTACGCATTATCGGGCGTACGTCGAGCACAGGTAAGACTCTGTGTGGCAGAGGTGTCACCGTTGGTTTAATTACTCAAGTTTGAGGTACTTTCTCTCAGCGGAAAGTACCTGGGGACTGCGCGGTCCTTCATAAAGGACCGTGCGGCCCTCGAAAGTTTTGCATATTCTCGCGGAAAGTCCGCGAGAATGCGGCCACTGCGCCGCAGCTAATCTATAAAAAAACCGCGATTGTTCTCCAAGCATTCGCCTAAAATTTCGCTAAAATTATTCCAAATTTCTGCAAGCGGGCGACATCAAATCAGCAAACTATTTTTCCGGTGCGCGCTTGCTCAAAATTCGCATGGCCGCCTGTCCCCGGCGATTATCTGGGCAGGGCCTCATGAGTACATTAAAGCAAATGAATTTGCATCAAAAGAGAGCTGAAAGATGCCACCACTTCGATCACGTTAAGGCCCGTATGCACGTACGTTCCCGCTTAGGTGCAGGGGAGGGGAGCGATCCCCTCCCCTGCACCTAAGCGGGGATGGTGTGAATGATTTCAGAGGTATTGATCGAGCGAACCCCAGTGCGTACGGGGTTCGAATGGGGGAGGAGATCCCTTCCCTTCCCCCACTGGAACCCCGTATGCGCGAATTTAACTCAATAACGCGGGGGAGGGGATCGATATCCCCTACAACGGAGTAGGGATTCGATGGTGCAGGTCAAGCCAGAGAAGCTAGTATTCTGATTTCAATCAATTATTACAAAGCATTTTGTTCAAATTGATGAAAGATTTTTTTCGGGAGCCGGGTTCCTTTCTCAGCGACCTTTAGCTTGCAGTTGTAACTCTCCCTTCCACATTCGCTTCTTGTAAAGAAATCCGGACATAAATCTGCCAGTTTCGAATATCTGTAGAAGTTTGTGACCATTCACGAGAGATGTGCACTTTTTATTTGACATAGTAGTTTTATCCGTTAAGGCTGGTACAACATATTATAACTATCACATTATATGATAGATTGTCTTTATCTCGTTATCCCAAAGTAAAACTGCTTTGAATAAAATGAAAATCAGCAGACTCGCGTGTTTCTGAGTAGAGATCCTTGGGGGAGTGATCCCCTCCCCATCGCTCCTCTCGTGCAAAGCAGGGATGGCCGCTGGGGATCGTTCCCCTGGGATAAAGGACGATATGCAGCTGATAGCTACAGGGCACGATTTGCAGCTTCAGTCATGTGTAGAAATGCTGGTTTGAATATTCGCAGCGCCCCCCCCCCTTTTTTTCGGCAGCATAACGTCTTCTACCCATTCACTGCAGATACACCTTGACTTCTATTATTGAACACCTTTACGCTGAAATGGGCAGCATGAGCGAGAATGAGCAGCATCTATGAAAACAGCTAGAATACAATAAATGTGGGAAATATTTCTTTAGTGCGCCGACCGCAATCACGGCAGACGGCATTCCGCAACGACTAAATATTGCCGAGGGCGAGTAGCTATCAAAAGATAAAAAAAGGAATAATTACTGCAAAAAAGGGGAAGCAAAGTGAATTCCCCGCTCGATCTCCCCTTCTGCATAAAGGGGCTTCCCTCCCTTACCCCCAGGGGATCCCCTCCCCGGTATTGTCTTTCTGCATACGAGGGTTCGCGTGGGGAAGGGAGGGGAGCCCCAGCGAGGATCATTTCAATGATTAAACGCACATCCCCTCCCCGCGGGGATGTACGTGCATACGGGCCTAAGACAGGCAAAATTGACTCCATTTGACCGCGAAAAATTAACGGCACAAAACGCGCCAATACTTTTCAGCCACCCTGTATACATCTGCAACTTCGTTTGTAATTAAACGTCCTCCTTCAAACATATCTATTCTTTGAGCATAAATTGACGCGAGGGTTCTTTAAACTTGAGCTCTCGGCGTTTAGAAACATCAACCCGTAATCTCCGTCATCGTAGAACTTGGCTGGGCGGGTCAAATAAGGCAAGGATGCTCGGTCAAAGTGGCGTTTCCATATGATTTGTATAACTTCGTATGGAGCATGAGACGTTGATTCCAATCTGCTTTCTATGTCTGCAAAGCGCTTGTCACAGGGGAATTTGGAATCTCTTTGAGACAAAAATTCAAGGGTTTGACTACGAGCTAAAGGTATCAACTAGTAAAGCTCCCTAGCAGTAATCATAGCTCCCTTTAAGCTCACATACTACAGTTTTGAATAAATTCATTGTTCGCGTTCAAACTTTTGTTTTAAAACTTCCCACAACCTTTCTCCCAGAAGAGCTTGCAGATAACGAAAGCAGGTTTGCAATCTGCATTCCATGCTCTGTGAGACAGTATACATTTTGCATAAAAACGCCATTTCGACCAAGAATCCTTTCCTTGCAAAACAAATTTACAGCTCTTCAGTGCAGCATCAATCGTCATCGAACTTGGCGAGTATTGCTCTGTAGACAAAATTACTGTAGCGGATTGCGCGTCTTTTCAAGAGAGTTCGCCACCGCCTAGCAATGGTCTCAAAACGCCAGTTCTCATGCAGCCCGCTTCTTGTTCCCACGTATAATATCGCCTACTTTGCATAAGCCACGTACTTTTCTGGCCACTCTAAGCGAGAGGTCAGCTTTATCAACTGTCTATCGATAGATCAAGCAACGCATCTTTCATTCCACGCAATGTTCACCACCACTACGCTTGGAGGACTGCCAACCCCTTTGAGGTAACCTGTAGCGCGTCTTTCGCTTGCTACACGGCAGTGGAGCAGTTACAGAAATTTTCTTTTCTCCAACCCTAGGTAACATCATTGGCCGATGTGTACTTCGTCCATTGCACTGAGTTGTTTTGTGTGTTGATTTGAATTAGGGATAAATGGTGGGCACCTTGAATTGTAATACTTTGACTAGAGTGGTTGCAAAGTGCTACTTGTGCTACTTGTGTTCATTGTAAACTTACGTCTCGGAGGAATTCATCAATGGGAAGGTGCGGCACGATGCATACTAGTGCTCAAGTTGCAGTTAAAACACAACTGTCAGGAATGTGTGTAATTTTGAGATAGCTGAAAGCCGTAGGAATAAGGGGGTTGGTAGCATAGGGCCTCTACTCGTTTGTGTGTGTTTGCTTGTGGCAGGCCGTAAAAGCTTGGCGCAAGCTAGATACCTTACCACTGAGAAAACCCAATGCGGCATGCATCGGGGCGGAGTTAAGGATAGTGAGTGTATAGCCTTTGCGATCGGACATTACTTGCATGTGCCCGCATATACACTCTGCGAAGGTTTCTAGCTAGCAACGCAAATATTAATCTACTCTCAATTCACGCGTCTGAGACGCACATTTCGGTTTTCAAACGTGCAGCTCAGCTGCCTTGCTGCTTTTCGGAAAACGAAACTTATGGCGCACGATACTCTCAGGCGATATCAGCACTGTAAATAGCTTTTTGGTCGCGAAGTCCTTCGTTGTGTCTGCGCTGTTTAATTTTTTAAAAAATCTCCGCGTCCTATGCGCGTGAAAATTAGGGTAATTCCCCATTTTAGTGTTTCTGCA